ATATTTATTTTTAATCTTTGCATAGAAATCTTTGTTAGAATTATCTTCAATCTTTCTCTATTTAATCTAAGTAAGTATTGACTTCCTTTCTAGTTGCAAATCTTTAATTTGATTGAAAAATATTTGAACATATCTTAAACATATGTGTGAAGAAAGATGTAGGGCTTTTTTAATTGATTTTATAATTTGATGTATTATTTTTTTTACAAAAATATTTATTTTTTACAAAATATTAAATAAAGACATATAAAATTTTACAAGAAAAAATTTAAAATATGTAATATTATAACAAGACCATATATCATTAATATGTTGAAAGATTCAATGATTTTTTTACTAATAAATAATCATATTGAAGTTAGATGATTTACATTTATATTTTTCAATTGAAAAATAAATTCAACTTAAAGGTGATCAAATAATATACTATTTTTTCTTGTTTAGCAATATAAAATTTAATATTATGAAAAAAATGGGAGCTTAAATAAAACTTGTTCAGTCTTACAAAAACCTTTATTTTTTTCTTTTATTATCCCATAAGTAATATAATAAACCATTTTTTTTAATACATCTATTAAGAAAAGATAAGATATAATATAATTCTATATCAAAGACAAAAATCACAAACAACCATACATCAATATCTTCTTATATCACTTAAAAAAATAGATATTTATTCAAAGATAGTATAATATTAAAAATAGAATGTCTATTGTCAAAAACAAAAAAACTAAACATTCTTGAAATAATTTTAATTAATTTTAAATTTATAAAATGATACATTTTAAAAAAGATTCTTAATCCTATAAATTTTTACTTATTGATCTGCTAGAATGCTTACAAAATTATCTCAAATATAAACCTTTTTTATTTCACAAAATTTCAAATCACCTAAAATAACCTTGACTTTGTAAAGCTCTTACAAATTCAATATCCATCCAAATCACTCTAATCTAACGTTTATCCAATCTTATGAAGTTTATTCTTGAATTATTTTTTTAATCATTAAAAAAAATCCTATCATTGTTGTAGATATGCAATTTTGTGTCTTAAGAGTTAATTATGATCTAAATTCATAATTATTCTTCTCCATGTATCAATCTATAGTTTTTATAAATAATTTTTGCTAAAGCTATTCTAAAGTTATACCTAAAGATACTTATAATATTATTTTTACTAATCCACTATATTTTATCTTATTTATAATCCTACAAAGTATATATAAGGTTTATTTTACAAAAATATATACTTTTTAAACCTACAATGTTTTCAAACTTGGTGCAAATGTCTAATACAATTGAAACAATTTCTTTTGAAGTTTTCGTTGATTCTATTTAGGAAGAGATTTTATATAATTATAGTATTAAAGTTATAATTTAGGATTAAAAGGTGCAAAAATAATCTTTAAATTATAAGACAATAAAATTAAAATCCACCAAGATTACTCTTTTTAGAATATTTTTAAATATATTTATTTTTTTATTTATATATATATATATACAAAGCCTTTGGTTATTTATTTTAGAAATACTTAACATACTTCAAGACCATTATCTCTATATTTGTTATATGTAAAGCAAACAATAATGATAATGCATAAAAGTTTTTTTACTTTCTTTTGCACAAGTTCCTAGTCTATTTCCACTTTGAAAGGATAATTTAAATTAATAAACCAAAGTAACTTTGTAAGTAACTTGCAATCTAATGAGTAAGGTATGAGTGGTCACTATATTGATAATGATGAAAGGAATTAAGTAGAGTTTGCTCTTCTAACATGTCCATTGCTAGATTAAAATTTGAATCTTAGATAGTAGACTTCTCTTAGTTGTATAATGTATTGTTATTGTTGGAGATGCCTTGGACTCTCTTTGCATATGTAGTTATAGATGTTGTACCATTGATAATAAAATTACAAAAATATATTGGAAAATCAAATAAAAAATCAAATAAAAATGAAAAAAGTTGTTTCCTTTCAATAAACCAATGGAAGATTCTACATTATACAAATGATATGTAGAAGATTATGAAGTGCAATTTGAGCTACTTTTGCAAAGATACACACACTTTTGTGGCATTTTTATGCTTTAGATTTGAGCTTTGCTACTATTCTTTAGTATGTATCTAGTCTCAAAATCATGTCATTGGTGAAGTTTTTGAATGTCATTTTTTTAAGCATTACATGAGAAACTACTTTAAATGTATTTAAAAAACATTATATTGTTTTTTTGTATTATTTATCAAATACTCTTTAAAGGCCAAAATTTAATATATTTTTATTCTTTCTTCAAATACATACATACATAAGATATCGCTAATGCCACCACAATTTTTGCTTTTACATTCATAACATGCCACCTATCTAAAAATAAATAAAAAATTAATGAATATTATTTTAATAATTTTTTTGATATCTCCAATATTTTTTTTGATATTATATAGAAATTAAAATTAATTGAAATTTAAAAAATAATTAAAACCATATTAACAATAAATTGTGATGGTAGTAGCCAAAATTGTGGTGACATTAGCAACATCCTACATTTATACACGTCTCAAGTTATGTGTATATATATATATATATATATATGTATATTCCCGAAAATTTAAATACCAACAAATAAATTATTTGATTTCAACAATCCAAAACATCGCCTTCACTCTCTCCCTAGCTCCACAGTTCCCGTTGAAGTCTTCAAGAGTACATAGACTAGGCCCACGACGAAGACCCCTGAGCGCGAAGTACTCTGCACACACAAGTACACCCCCTCACTCTGGCAGAGTTATGACAAAACCCTCCATCAGACCAGTCAGCACTTGAATGTGTACAATTGGGGTAAAGGAAGATAAGCATAATAATCATAATAATAGCAACAACAAATAACAAAAATATCTCCCACACCAGATTCAGTGTCCAGCAAGTTATCTAGATATAGATATAGCATGGCAGCAGCATTCATGCCTTGCATAGGACTCCCCTGCCATTCAAGGAATCCGATGCTGTCTCCATCCTCGCCCGACCCGACCCGGCCCAACCTCCCCCCCCCCCACACCCTCAACTACTTTAAAAGTAAGTGATGACAAAATTTCCTCCGAATATATACCGATGTCGTGGATAATGCCTCGTGTGGGGTGAGTTTAGATTTTAGGTGCCTAGAGATAGGTGGCGTTGGGTGTCCAAAAACTGTGCTGAATAACTACATTTCGGTGCTGCTGCAATTTGGCCTCCGCCGCCTCTTTTCATGAGACCAAATGCAGCGATGTAGTCTTACCTCCAAAAGAATATCGCATGCCACGTGTTTTGTCGATCACCAGGATCCCATGACCCTCGTTTATGTAGGTGTATTGTACATATATGGAATCTATACCCTGCATAGAGAGCTTGTCTCCACTTGGATGATACATCTAATCAGTAATGACTGAAATAACTGTCGTGGAGGTACATGGAATGAAACTGCACCATCTCTGTGAGGAATAAACATCAACATCCAGATTACCAAATGAAAATTCTGAGTGATGTGAGTGATTTCTACATTTGTTTTACACATCTTGGATTGTATTTAACTTAATTTAAATTGTTAACATTGAATAACTAACTAGTGTGATGTTCAAAACTTTTAAGAGAGCATCACAATTTGTAGTGATGGTAGTGGAGAAACTTGACGTCAGGAAATTCATTTCAAACATGGTATTCTACGTAAGATGTTTTGGTACAAGAGAAATGTCATTAAAATTTATGATGATTATAAATATGTTTATTTTATTGTAGTGTTCAGTAAAAAGTAACACACAAAAGTTCTACCACATCGGTTATGTTGTAAACTTTAAAAAATTATATTAAAAATTAAAAAAAAACTAAAAATAAAACATGAAATAGGAAACTAGTTCATAAATAACTAAAGGAATATATAAACAACAACTTCAAAGTCAACCAGTTTGCTTGTAATTTTTTTATTTGAATAATGCAGTTATTTTAGGTGTTATTGAGTGTTTCCTTATTGAAAGTCAAATAAAAAAGAACAGCTAGAGTGGATGGATGTTCTCATCCAGACGCGCTCCAACGAACAGACGACGAGTCCTGCACTGGAGCGGTCCCAAAGGAAATTAAGCGCAAGCAAGAAAGCAGAAGGAAAGCCAAGAAGCGAATGGGTTAGGGGGTTCGTCCACGTCCGCAAATGAGAACCCCTCCAAGATCCCAGCTGGCAGCTGAATAGACATAAAGACCGAAGTCTGGTAGCCAGGACGGTATAACAATGACGTGGAGAACCGCTAGGAATCTACAAATAGCCTAGATCCATTGTGCTGATGAGGAAGTGAGTCACACAATGATCAGAGATGCCTCGTGTGTGGATGACGAGGTTTGCCGAGCCAGGGGGGGTGCAACGGCCAACTGGGGAAAAAGGGCCACAAGTACCCACACCTCTCCCCATGCCTCTTTGTCCCAAACGCAAATTCCACTTGGACCTTGTCGATAAGCATGGGTTAGCTTCGGAGGAAGAAGAGGCTCGGGCCGGACCAAAAACCATACCTGATACCAAACCTACGTGTCATGAGGCATCGTGGGATTGATTCTATCCTCTACTCTTTACCAGTATTGAAGGAACTAAAGGCGAGTATATGAGTTTTCGAAAGTTCACCGATGGCAGGTGGGAAAAGGAGCTCAACTGTTTTGTCACCACTCATGGTCGTTAACTTAGAAGGAACCCGAACGATCGCTCGCTCGCTCGCTGGCTGTGCTTCACTTTCCCTTTCTTACATAATAAAATTTAGGAATCTAGACCTTTCCTAGAGTCCCCCTCCACTTTTTGTCCACGACCGGACCTTCAAAATATCTCACTGCTGAAGGGTACATATCGCACGGCCAGGATGCTCTCAACGCATCGGACGTAATCGGTGCCGCGACCACCGGACGGTGGAGCCTCCCGACCGCAGAAATCTGCCAACTACCGAAAGTCGTGCGTGGGCATGGCTTGCTCCCCGCACCCCTCATAATCTCGTGCCCGCAGCCCTATTCTCATTGCACTCTCTTGCCTCTACTCTGGTCTCCTTTTCTCTGATCTCCGAGGCATTCAGGGTTCACCCTGCGCCTCTTTGTTACTTGTCCGTTTTTTTCGAACACTTCATACTATCAAGATGGGAGAAGAATTTAGGTGCTTCGTCGGGGGCCTGGCTTGGGCCACCACCGACGACCGTTTGGAGCAAGCGTTCCGTCCTTTCGGAGATGTTATTCAGAGCAAGGTAATCTCCGACAGGGAAACTGGAAGGTCTCGCGGGTTCGGTTTCATCACGTTTGCTGACGAGAACGCCATGAACGAAGCTATTAAAGAAATGAATGGAAAGGAGTTGGACGGGCGTAACATCACTGTGAACCAAGCGCAGTCCCGTGGAGGAGGCGGCGGTGGAGGTGGTGGCTACGGAGGAGGCGGTGGTGGACGCCGTGAAGGTGGTGGCGGCTATGGTGGAGGTGGTGGTAGCTACGGTGGGAGTGGTGGTGGTGGGTACGGAAGTCGCCCGTCCTATGGAGATCGTGAGGGTGGAGGCGGTGGTGGTTACGGAGGCCGCGGAGGTGGTGGCAGTGGTTATGGAGGTCGCGGAGGTGGCGGGGGTTCCGGGAACTGGAGGATCGAACGCCAGAGCGATTATTAGAGCCGTCAAAGGTGGTTGAAGCCTCTGGTGGTTTAAGTAACATTCCGGATTCACGAATGGATGACGCTCTGCGCTCGGAAATCTGCGGGTCTCGGATCGGATAACTGGTGACAAGACTACTGCAAGGGGGTTGCCGAAGGGAAAGACACTGAAGGATTTTACTGTTTGGGGCCGGGAGAGATGCAACTGTTCACTGGGGAAAGCCACTTGAGATTTAACTGTCCTTTCTGCGGGGGTCGCTGGACCTGCCTGCAGGTCGCGTTAGTGGCGACATGTTTGTCGACTTGTTTCTTGTTACTTGTTTGTTTTTGTGCTCTTTCTGCAGTGCAGAGCAACGGATCGTCCTTCACTGTTCCTGAAGTAGGATAACCACCCGTGGTACTCTGATATTTTTTTGCCTTGAGCTCGTTCTGATCTGTTTCTTGTAAGGATGTCTTAAGATTTTGGTCTCACTGTAGTAGGATGAACTTCCGGCGGGGCTTTAGCTCTTTCTGGCAGAGTCGTTCTGTATTTTATCTAAGGTGAAACTTAGAACGCTGGAACGACATGATACCTGTGAGTTCTTTTTTCGGACATTGTTCATGTGTCTCTTATACGAAGATTTGAAACTTCTGAAACAATACTTCGAGACCTCAGTCTTCTGGCTATGGGTATTCATGAATGTATACTGTGAATTTCCCAAGTGTATCGTTTTCTATCTATTTTTATTCCGTTCCATTGTGAAATAATGACACGCTGATCTTCCTCTGGGAGTAAAATATTGACATATTTGAAACTCACAGTTCTGCGGAAGATGTTGCCAACGGGATACTCAAAATATTTCACGAAGTAGCATGCTTTCATACAATGTATTACTTTTTTTTTCTCCACGTGTTCTACCAATTGTCACTTACACATTGCAAGCTCACTCTCTTATGACACAAACCTTCCTTATCATAAGACACAATATTTAGTGAACCCAAATGTGTCTCATTCTACCAGTTGCCATGTGAATGAAAATATCTAACACTCGCACTCTTTTTGTACACATGTTGAAAAATCTTCTACACCTGTATGGTATACACTATGTCAGAGCGAGGCGAATATACGTTGAATAATTTCAACTGCACATACCAATTCACTATCCCATTGCACAATCACATATAAATTCACTAAATATCAAATTTAACAGAATCGTGCACCTTAGCGTTCTATGTCGGAGCAAGAAGGTAAGGAAGTCTGTATTCTTGACAATGAGATTGACGTTGAGATTATGAACATTGATCTAGACAAACTTCGCATTCATCAAGACATAGTTATCATTCAGCATAAAATAAGGATAATAGCTGCTCTACCTATTTTTAATTACAAAAAGTCGTACACATCACCTTAACATCACAACGATTAAAACTACAAATTGACCAAAATGACTAAGATAATTAACCAAAACTTAATACTTCTCGATGTTGAGAAGATTCCTATAAATATTCAGTCAGCAAAAACATAAAAAGAAAAATATACATATACATATGTATATACACACATATAAATATATATATATATATAGATATAGATATCTTTGTTGATTGAATTTGGGTAAGCACAATTTTATGATCTATATATACATATCTTGAAATATTATTGTATCTAGAAATACAAGTATTACAAAGAATCTTTTCAAAACTTAAAAATTATAATCTCCAGGTTTCTTATTGTCTATTTGTGTATAAATTAACATTGATCTTTTTAATGCACTAGCCTAATACTTCTATGTCAAAGTTCTAACAACTTATTAATCAAATGTTATTTAGTTTGATTGTTGTTGTATATATTGGCAAAAATATGTAGAAACTATGAAGACAAACTAAACAAGAATCATGTTTACAAAGAAAGAGACAAAAGGGCTAGAAGAGTTGTGGTAATAAAAGATGGTATATGAGTGTATTATGAGTGTATTATCCATTTTTTATCGTTTTATTTTTTATGAAAAAAATTTACTTAAGCTAATGCAAAAATATAAAAATAAAACATAGTTAATCTATGCTTAGCAAGGTTGTTACATCCAACATAAAACATGTTTAGATATAATATAGAAAGCAAATAACAATCATACCATTTTAAATTGATTTAAAATACTAAATTGTACATATATATATATATATATATATATATATCTCTTGGTTATTCATATATTGATAATTATAGTAAATATTTTATCTAAATATTAGTTGATAATTATACAACATAAGAAGTAGGATGTGTTATAAAAGAAATGTCTAATTTTGGTATTTTATACACTTACTTCTTGTTTCTGTTGTTTTTTCTTTTTAAACAAGTTTTCTTAATAACATACTATGATCTAATTGATGTTTAATAAAATAAAAGGAATAAAAAAAATATGTGTGTGAGTGTATATATATATATATATATATATATAATACTTTATGTAGCAATTTATTTTACATGAAAAAAAATATAGTAATTGGCTATATTTATGACAAAAATAAGTAAAATATCTATGAATGTATTTGAGTGAAAGCTGATTTAGAATTATTTTTATAATCAATATGTTTTATATAGTATTTTAAAGAATCAATTGTAAACAGTTTAAATAGAAATATTTCAGAATTTTAATAAAAATTGTGAGAACTCTTGAATAAAGTTTTGTAAGGCATAAATGTTTTTCTAGACATTTAAAACAAATATTAGAAATATTTACATATGTCAACAAATAAATTGTTTTGAGCATGTTTGAAAGCTAGTTGGCATTTTAAATTTTAATGTTATAATATAAAATAACAAAAAAATATTTTACTACATAACATATATGGCTATTAATTTTATTCTAATTTTATAATAAAAAATTCACACTAAATAACTAATTGTGATTAACCAAGAATTTTAGACCCTAATTATTTTTAGTAATTTTGTTTTATTTACTTTTTTTTAAATAACGATTTTATATACAATAAAAGAATATCAAAAGTATATCATATTAAAAATTTAACCTTTAAAACTTAAAAAAATTTCAGATTTATCCTTGGAGTATCCTAAAATATTATAAATATCCTCTTACTTTTGATAATTTCTGATGCATATCTTGCATTGTATATGAACATATATTATTACCAATGATTCTTATATTGCATATTAATGGATATTACCAACAATGATTTATGTATCATATATGAACAAGTATGATTGGCAATTCCGCTTAATGATCATACTAATGAATACCACCAAAGCTTGAATTCATGATCAAACATCATCTTCTGTGTCATGCTAGCTTAGGTTGATGCTTTGAATAAAGATAGACCTAGTTGCAAGTTTGTACAAAAGTAAGTATTAATTGAATCTGCATCAAAATAAATCATAACATTTTTTGCAATTCTTTTTAGGTAGTGGTAGGATGATAATACAATTGTTTAAATATTGCTACATTTGTAATATTGATAGTATTAAATCATGTGTTTTGATTCTATTGCATTAACCAAAAAGTACTTCCAACTATCTTATCAATTGATTCCCCGTTTTTGACATTTGTAGCTATAAGCCTTAAGGACATGCTTCACATTACTCTACAATTCATTAATTTTGCATCTATGGATTGACAAACACATGATGTGCTTGAATTAAGCAAATGTACAATGCAATTCCATTGAGAATAAGATTTGAATCAAAATCAAGGTTGGAGACTTCATGAAGTTCGGAATCAAGCATTGATGTTGATATGTACTAATACATGACTTTACACAAATCTTTAGACTATCAGGTTGTTAGTGTTTATAAATCATGTAATTATAGATGACAATGCTTTTGGACCTAGGCCTCTACTATTAGAATTATGTAGCCAAGACATGCACTAATTTATAAGAATAAAAAATCAAATACTATAAGTAATAATTTTTTTATGATTTCTATATTGAAAGTCAAATTTGATTATCTTTGTGTAAGTGATTTAGTGAAATTATGTAGTGTTTATTCATAAGTAGATTTTATATATGATTAGGCATATGCAAGCATGCATACATCACCTTTGAATTTAGAATGATCATGTGTCATACTATGGGTGTTGTTTTCCTAAGTAGTAATACATTAAAGTAAGATATTTATTGTAATGCAATCAACAACCATTTTGAAACATCTTTTATCAAGTCCAATCAAATGAGATACATTGTAAAATATTGTATTGATACTTGCAATTAGAAACTACATATGCTACAATCTCAATAGATATGTACAAGTGAATTTATTATTTGGATATTTATCTTTGAAGACATATGCATTGCTAGCATTTCAATTGCATAAAAAATAATATTTGATGTAATGAAGGAGTTACAATATCCTACTTGATTGTCTAGTATAGAAGAGGGAAACATTACTTTTGAGCTAATTGATTCCTATAAAGATAACAATATAAACCTAAAAGCATACTATGACTAAAAAAAAACAAAGAATCTTAAGAGCATTACAAAATTAGAAGTTGATGAACAAAATTGCTTTCTTTTGTATTTTTGCCTAAAATGCTAGCTTATATGGCTTATAACATTGTAGACATGTCATTGACATAGATAAGACTCTTTCAAAAAAAAAAAAAGTGGGACATTTTCTTGTTGCTATAATAATTATTTCAAAGAAATAATTATTTTATTTTCTATTTAATATTACAAATGTTTAAATCAATGACTATTGGTTGTGGTTCATGTGATGGATGAAAGCAATAATTCTTGCATATTGTCTATTATATTACAATCTTCCAAAATTCACATTTTGTCTAATCAACAAAAAGATATCATTGATGTTGTCAACAATGTATTTCTACTATGCAAATACACATTTTTAGTGCACCATTTAGTTAAGAATTAATAATGACATTTCAAAAATCCAATGCTTATATGCCATCTCTAAGTAGTAGCAAGTGCAAATATTTTTTTAGATTTCAATATCAAATTTTCAAAAAAATTAGGATGTATTTGAAGAAGCTATACAATACTTAATAAATACTCTAGCATAATATTAGACATTGTCACAGCTTAATGGAAATCAATATAGCCACATGATTTTAAATATTACAAAATTTCTAAATTAATAGATCTTAAAAGGATATAAGAGGAGATTAATTTCAATGCTAGAAATACTTTGGCAGCAACTCATAATATAATACAATGAATAATTGTCAAGGACATGAATTGGAAGAAAATGCATAAACTTAGAAAATCTGTGTCAAAAATAAAGTGAAAAAATAAAAATAAAGTAGTATATATATTAAAAAGAAATTAGAATGGCTATTGCTAAATGACAAAGAAACTAGAGACTCTTAAATCTAAACTAGAAGCAAGAAAGGAGTTGATAAGAATAAAGAGGGCATCACTCTTGCCTCTATATATACTATCTAAGTAAAAGCTACATGGCAATGTTTTATAGAACTTCTAATATGTGTTGACTTTGCAGGATACATGCCTTACCTTACAAGGCAAGTTTTCTACGTGTAGGCCACATAGTTAGCTTGTTCTTTAAGCTACCAACATGTGTGGCACATGGCCAACTTATTGACCACGTTTCTAATCTAAAAATTCAATTAAAGTCACCTATAAAGTCAAAGCAGCATCAATAAAGTTTTTAGGAAGCTTCGATAGAAGATATTATAGAATTGACATACTTTTATCTAGTATTATCTAAATTATATAAGTAATTATTGGTTTACATATGTATATCTATGACAATAATGTACCATTGCAAATTCAACTATTAGACGATTATCAATTAATATAATAGAAAAGAACAAATGGTCACTTATACTTACAAGTGACTATTGCATCATTTTTCTATTCAATACTATCTTTGAATGCATATCAAAGCAATCATCTAATATTTTAGATTTATAGAATTGCACATGTACATGTAACTTGTGGGAGCTCTTATAATTAACAAAGTATTGGATAAAAAAATAACTATAAAATCAATGTTGCTTTGATCCTACTATCCTTGATACAACATTCATATTACTACCTTAAAAAATGTCACATTTGTATTCAAGATATTGAAAGAATTAAAAGAGTATTTAGATGCAACTAATCCAAGAATATTGGGCATAATTACTTGACATGCAAAAAACCAATTTGGTTCCTTGATTGAAGCATTGCTTAATGTAATGTTGATGAGACTACTTTTGAAACTTAATAGAAAATAATTAAATTTGGTCACTTAATAGAAAGCAATTAAATTTGGTCACTTAGAATGCACGTGTATATGATTTTAAATAAAATTAAATATAATAAATAATATTGCATATTCTTGGATTTGATTTACTTTTTATATACTATGTAGTAAAATAATACTTTGATATTTTCTTATTAATTCTCTCAATGAACTTATTATAAACTTAAAAATACCATTGGTTGCAAGTTTTGGTATTTAAAAGTGAACCTTGATAAAAAATAAAAATAAAAAAAGACCACATAATACCACAAAGATTTAATATGGAATCCTCCAAAGTCTTTGTTAATTCTAAAGAATAGTAATTATACCTTTAGAAAGCTTTACACCTAATATTCAAGTAATTGATTCATGCCTTCACTTAGGCTTTAGCTTCTCTTCCTCACACTAGCTGCTAGCCATTGTAATGCAATTCTTTCCATATTAATATATCAAGTCTTGTTGCACTATTTAAGGTGTATATCATAAGTATATGGTTGAAAGTTGTATTTTTTTAAGCAATGGCTTATAGGTAAATTTAAATATATATAATTTTTAGATTGTTTTGATTTTTGGTTTGATGATCACATAAGTATTAAAATTTAACTTTCAATATAAAAATCATAAAAAAATTATTACTAATAGCATTTGATTTTTGATTCTTGTGAATTAACGTATGTCTTAGCTACATAACTATGACAGGAGAGTCCTAGGATCAAGAGCATTGTCATCTATAATCACATGATTTGTATATACCAACAACCTAATAGTTTCTATGGATGCAAAATAAATGTATTGTAGAGCCACATGAATTACATGCTTAAGAATTATAACTATAAGTATCAAAAATAGAGAATAAATTAGTGAGATGGTTGAAAGTACATGTTGGTTAATAAAATAGAATCAAAATACATGATTCAATATTATCAATATTATAAATATAGCAATGTTTAAACAATCATATCATCATTTCATCACTACTTCTAAATAATTATTAAAAATATTATGATTTATTTTGATGCAGATTCAATTAATACTCATTTTTGTGCAAATCCGTGACTAGATCTATCTTTACATAAAGTATCAACCTAAGCTAGCATAATATGGAAAATGATATTTGATCATGAATTCAAGCTTTAGTGGTACTTGTTAATATAATCATTAAGCGGAGTTGCTAATGATACTTGTTCATATATAATATAAGAATCATTGTTGGTAATATCGATTACTATATAATGCAAGAATCATTGATAATAATATGTATTCATATACAATGCAAGAGATACATTAGAAATTATCAAAAATAAAAGGATATTCATAATATTTTAGGATATTTCAAAGATATATTTAAAAAAATTCTTAAAAATAAAATTAATTTTTTAATAATATTTTTTAAGTTTTCAAATGATTTTTAATAATATAATGAATTCTTGGTTATTTTTATTTTTTTACATCTATTATTCTTATTATATTATTTTATCTTCATTCATCATAAATTTGCTAAATATTGATTTTTTTAATCTCTTTATTAAAAATTATCTTATTCAATTATTATGCAATTGTTTCAATTTAATTGTTACAAAGGACAATCCAACAGAAAATTTCCCATATTTTTGCCTTTTCATTTAACTGTGAGAGTAAAATAAATAATTGTACCAATAAAAAGAATAATTGATTAATGTTCCATAAAATTATTATGTACAAATGAATAAATCAATCAATTTAAAAAATATTCAATAATTCTACTTACCACACTAACAAAAAAATAAAAAACATAAAAAATTGTGTGATGGTTCCACAACTATTTAACATATTAATAAATTGGCCTTTAGTTCTAATGTCAACAATAATTAAACATGGTATGAAGTGTTTTTGCTGATTTGATATTTGCATCTAAGACAATTTAAAATTTTACTTAAACAGGTTCAGTAATGATCTTTGAATCAATAGAATTCATATGAATAGAAGATTCAATAATTGAAGTATCTCTTATGGTGTAACAAAATTCTTCTAGAACCTTAAGGAATGGTATGCTTCTCATTGTAAAAGATGTTGACACCACATTTAATTATTGTTGACATTGGAACTAAGAGTCAAGATATAAACAACATATTGATTTATAATTCAGCGTGGAACCAATAGATGAAAAATTTGTGTGCAAACTACAACAATTGTCATTTTAGTTCATGAATATTGCATCATGCAATATAATGATGACAATTATCCTCTTACAAAACTTGACAGCATCAAAGAAAGTATATTCAGGCACTACAGAATCATTCACATCACCCAGAACATCGTCAGGTAATGCGAGGTAATATTCATTCTGCGAATCATATGCTTAGTGCACTTCGTCTATTTCGATAATTGTACGATTGCAATCTCAAATAACTACCAGTACACATGTAAATGGAAAATTATTCGAAGTATTAATTTGTCCTATAGCATTTGAAGTTGTAGCTCCATTTCACTAGGATTATGCATAAATTTGTTGATGCAATTCTATGTAGGAGCTAATATCATGACTTCAGATGTGTTTATTTTGCATACATTAGTTACGTTTCTGAGCTATTGGTGAAGTAAGGAAAGGCACTGAAATGAGTAATATCTGCATGTTTGTCCGCGTTTAGCTTACACCATAAGTATTAGCGACATGGAGATGCGAAACACAGATATTCCACAAAGACTGGAACTGGATTATCTGGACCTTAAGAGAAATCTAAACACCATGAGTCATACAACGACGTGTTAAAGATAGACCACGATGATGATAATGCGTGGATAGTTATGACCGGGGTACTTGGATTTTGAAACAAGAAATCACCAGAGCATTCGGATAACGGAAGTGTGCACCATCTAAGCTGTGGACTTGCATACAGTGAGAAAACTATTGTGTTCACCGACATACAAAGAACTCCAAACCACGAGGACAGAGATATAATTATTCGTTTTTCATCGCTTTGGCTGGTGTTTAAAATTCAATCTCATGGAATTATTCTCCGTCAACCACGAGTGGTTCAATAAGAAAAGTAGCCTCCAAGCATCGGTCTAGGGGCTTTATCTCATAACTGAACTGCAAAGACTACGTCTCTTCTTACACACACTACCGTGTGCAATGACTAGTCACTTAGCCATGGAAGAATACAGCAGTGCCCCCATTTGACTTCACTTCATGTAGCAGGGTGCTGCTCCGATCCCAGCAAGGACTGTCTTGATAAGAAGTCGAGATGGCAATCAAGGGACAATGTGACCTGCACGTAAACAGAACCAGTAATATTGATTGTTAGGAATAGCAAGAGATCTTTTAACGAATAAACAGTGGGAAACTCAATCGAGCAGCAACCAACAGGAAATTGTGTAAGAAAAAGAATGGAATGACGCACCCTTGCAGTTGTAGTTGTGGATATAGTTGAGTCTGCACTCCTGGGGCAGCTTGGATGCCAGTTCGAAATTCACCCCAATAGACTTAGCGAGATTGCTGGTCAAGGCATCACACAGGCACTGGGGACCGTTAGCACCGGCCAGCACGGTCTGGATATGTGCGCAGCAATCCGCGGTTGGTGCTGTGCCAGTCGTCACCGCAGGCCTGCAAGAAATGTACGAGTTCACTGCAGGGCACTGCGCATGCGCGCAGTACACCATCGCCAACACAACCACAAAGGCCACCAAACTCTTCGCCATGATCGCCATCGCTAAAGCAGCTGCTTTACTATCTTCAGAGGAGTCCAGAAACAAGAACTTCGAAACGAAGAGAGAGACAACTGTAGAAGACTAGAAGACACTGCGCCGCGACTTAAGCCTCGGAAGTGGAAGTATATATGCGCTCGGAGAAGACGATTCACGGAAATGAACACTCATACCTCAGTCTTAAGGCTGACAGCATCGATCTGCTCAATCACCGTTGTAGCAGATCTAGCTCCCAAACTAAATATCTGACACCATACAAAATCATAAACTAAAACAATACTATTAGAGAAGTCGCAAAACACCTGCACCACCTCTTGGTGGCAAAACAGGCTTTTAAGTGCGTTGAATTGTCGCAGACCGGATCAGCGAGAGGGACCCACTTGTCCACGGTCTTACAAACCGCAGCAGACCGGGCATGACAACATACAGCGAACCAGCCCATACAATCCGCAACCCGAGTGGATGAACCCTTATTGGAGCGAGCCACGGTACATGACGTAGCACTGATGCCATCTGTGCAACACTGCTCTGCGCTTCAGACGCGTCGTACTGGAGCTAGTGGATAGGAATCGGTGTCATAACCGCAACTGAACGGCGACAGTCCCAATCGGTGGAGTGGTGGCGAGAGAAAGACCCCACTTGGACTGATCTTCACACAAGACGAAGCTCGGTTCTCGACGGTGGAATCAATGCATAGCGCGTGAGAGTAAACCTTTCATGTGTGGGGTGACAGAATGGGATGATGCAAGCGCGGTGGTAGTGCGCAGCCTTGCATTGATGGTGCTGCTCCCCTCTGGTGATGGAGCAGTGGGTGCCATATCTCCTGCCCACCCACCGCAGTAACGCTCCTCCAGGTTCTGCCCTCCTCTTCCTCCTCCTCCTCCATATCTGGATGGCGGTTTGGCCTTTGTCAGGCACTTTCCTTGTTCAATTGCTCCTTTTCTGCTTGCTTCTGTTCTGTCCTCCACGCGGTATTATCTTCCGCACGAAAAACAATTATGTACAAAACATTTGTTTGTGAACCACGATAACCAATGCCTCACATAATATTAATAAGATTAATAATAAAATAATAAACAACAACAACTCTTTGTGTACAAAATCGACTCATTTCTGGTGCAAGAGACATTCATTCCTCCTGCACAGCAATGCTTCTGCACAGAACACTTGTCTGTGAAGCACATGGACAGAAGTACAAATCGTTGCTGTTGGGCAGACATACTCATTTCTTGTGCCCAGAATTTTTGCTTCCTGTGCACA